CTGGATTTGCAAATCTTCCTTCTGTTTTTGAGGATTAAAAGCCACAGTAGCAATGGGTTGTATATTTCTGTATCTATTTGCTTTTAGCTATGCAGTAAAAAGTAGATCTGATACTCATTACAGCTGTTAGACATGATAAGGGAGTTACATTGACTGACTCAGCACTTAGTATTTGATGGCACTCTTTCGAGAAAAATAGACTATCTTTTGCCCTGCCACCTAGTTTATAGCCTGTTCCGGGGTTGAAGATGCCCACACTTGCTACTGAGTTCAAGATAGTCGCATTGCTAATGCTCTGAGTCATTGGTTTCCAGGGAGCAGTGTAGGGATTACTACTTGGTAAAGCTGCACTTTACCAAGAAAAGCTGAGGACTTGAAAGCAGTGTTTTTAAAACCATCTTTAACATACAAGGCCCTGGGTTTGACTCACAGCACCAGAAAGAAAAAGATATCTACAGGAAATGTACCCACTCAGAAATGTTTGCTCTGCTCTGAAGCCTGTAGTCAGGGCCCAGGTCTATTCCATATAAACGTCCCTTGAGGAATATTGTAATCTACTATGCATTCCAAATGCTACTTGCTCTTTGCTGTAAGGTATCCTTTCTTCCATGAAGAATATTTTCAAAAGTTAAATTTTAATAAAATATAACATGCCGGGCAGTGGTGGCGCACGCCTTTAATCCCAGCACTTGGGAGGCAGAGGCAGGCGATTTCTGAGTTCAAGGCCAGCCTGGTCTACAGAGTAAGTTCCAGGACAGCCAGGACTATACAGAGAAACCCTGTCTCGAAAAACAAACAAATAAATAAATAAGTAAATAAATAAATAATAACATACCAAGGCTAGGCAAGGGTTTGAGGTCAGTCTGAGCTACGTAGGGAGACCCTGTCTCAACAGAAAGATAAAATAAAGACAAATAAATTGTAACTGGCACACTGACTAATGCTCATTCCCAGCTTAGAATTCATTGCCATTTTTAATCGTTACTAATTGTCATTGTGCCTGTCATGCCAAGGCCCCAGCACTAAATAAAGATCAAGCTGTAAATACAGCTGGACTATCCTTAATTCCAAGCAGAAAAAGTGCCACTAAAGCCAGGCACAGGTGTTTCCTAAAATGGGACTTTCCTAGAAACTTAACGTTAGAACTCTAGTTCAAAGGACCTCTGGCCTGCTATTCCTTCTTTCATGTCTTCATTTAACAAACATTTGTCAAATACCAACTTTGTTCCAGCCACAGTAGTCCACACAAGACATATAAAAATAAGCCCTTGACCTTGAGTTCACAGACAAACATAGTAGAGATACATGTGTAACTATTACAGTGTCGCATGGAGAGATGGAGCAGGTCAAGCCCAGTGGAGAACCTTGGAGAGCAGAGGCTGGCAAACACAACAATCCACGACCATCACACAGAGTACCCATTTCTGCTTTGTGCCTACCAACCCAAAGAGGAACCTGTAACTTCTGAGATCATACTGATTGCCCATCCTTCCTTCTCTCTCTCTCTCTCTCTCTCTCTCTCTCTCTCTCTCTCTCTCTCTTTTGGTTTTTTGAGACAGGGTTTCTCTGTGTAGTCCTGACTGTCCTGGAACTCACTCTGTAGACCAGGCTGGCCTCGAACTCAGAAATCCACCTGCCTCTGCCTCCCAAGTGCTGGGATTAAAGGCATCCGCCACCACTGCCTAGCGCCCATCCTTCTCTTACAACCTAACCTTTTCCTCTCTTCTCTATGTTGGAATCCAAAATCGTTGACTGTCGCTCTCATTCATACAAAGCCCCTCTCTTAGAGTTTCTATTTCTGCAACAAAGCACTATGACCAGAGACAGGCTGGGGAGGAAAGGGTCTATTTGGCTTCTACTTCCACATCCTAGTCCATTGTTGTGAAGGAAGCCAGGACAGGAACTCAAGCAGGGCTGGTACCTGGAGGCCAGAGCTGATGTGTAGGCCATGGAGGGTGCTGTTTACTGGCTTGCTCCACGTTGGCTTGCTCAGCCTGCATTCTTATATATAATAACTCCAGTTCCCATATTCAGTAATTTACAAAGCACAAGTTCCTCCACATCCATGATTTCACTCCCGTTCCTTTGCCATGGCAGGTAATTCTGTTCCGGTATGTGTGACTTTTGTGTCTGTTCACTCAGGAAGAACTTGAGGAAAAGAAATCTGGTCATTAACTGTATAAAGGGAAGAAAATCACAGAAGACCAGAGTTTACAGGAAGTCCTTTCGAAAAAATAAAAACAAAAACAATCATGGAAGAAAATCTGGGATACTGAGCACAGAACCAAAGCTGCCAGTAGAGGTGGAATCAGGACACGGGGATACACATAAATTCAAAGTGGCTTCTAAATACATACACATTCAAAACAGCAGTGAAAGGAGGTGTTGAAGGAGAATTCAAGTTGGAAAAATGTCTTTGGGTACTGGGAGCAGAATAATGTATTTGAGTCAAATTGAACCGTATTCATAAACTATTACTTTTCACTTTTCCTCTCTCAGTTCTGTCATCTGGAAGACGGGATTAGAATAACTTTACAGAATGACATGCTAGGATTGAGGAAATGCCCCAGAGCACTGCTGGGGATTTACCAGGGGGAAATTCCCAAGTTCCTTCCTGATGGTGGTGATGGTTGCTATTAACATATGCTTATTTACAGACAAAAGGAGCTTACAAATACCCCAATCACATTGTGGGAGAAGAATGCGAATGGGGCTTTTTATGTATCTGTCAGGTTACATTTGCTACCGTTATCTTTATTTAAGACAGCTGTTTTCTTAATTAAGAATCTTTCCCCCTTTGACAATTCCATACATATATACAATATATTTTGGTCATATTCACCCCTAACTCTAGTCTTCCTCTCCCCCAGAACCACTCCCAACATGGCTCTCAGCTTCATGTCGTCCTCATCTTCTTTTTTCCAATAACCACTAAGTCCCATCTGTGCTGCCCTAGGATGTGTGAGACCGTCCACCAGAGCAGGGCAGCCTCCCAGAGACCACACCCCAGAGGAAAACTGACTTATCCCTCAGCAGCTACCAACAGCTCCTTAGCTAAGGGTGGGGCCTCGTGAGCCCCTCTCTCCTTCCTGCTGGGGTGCTGACTGGTTTGCTCTTTGGTGGATAACCAGAGCTCCCCTGGTTTCAGCCATGTCATGCCCAGAAGGCAGCATGTCTCAGCACTCTGCCTCATCCTCCAGCTTTTAAGTCCTTTTGGCCCCTCTCCCACAATGTTTCCTGAGCCTTGGGATGGATTGGTATACATGTCTTCTTTAAGGCTATGTGCTGAACAGTTTCTTACTCCCAGCACTTTGGCCAATAACTATATTAACTACTACCCACTGGATATGCTGCCTTGGTTGTCCTTGGCAGGCAGAGGACTGCTAACAGCAGTTTCATTTATAGTACTTTCAAAGCACTTACATGTTTTAAGTACTCTCTTAGTGTCGTGTTTACTCTATACCTTCCTCAGTACTAATACAGAATTTTATGAACATATGAGCAGTCTGATTTAACAGACTCTAATAAGACTAGAGTGAGAGCGGTAACTAAAAATCTTCTCCTATGGGACACTTCCTTCTCCAGCCATTCTGTGAGCCATCCTGCTTCTAGCTGTCCCTGAATGTCTGCTGTCACATTCTCTTGATCCTGTATCTCCATAGCCTGTTAACCCATTTGTACCTTCTAACAAACTGTGAGCGCTTTAACCTTGCTGACAAAGCTCATACCATGCAGTACTGAACAGAAGACCTGCACGCATAGTCTCAGTCGGTGTTTGTTAAGTGAGCGAATGCTTCTCCCAATGTGACTTGTCTGATTCTTGGCCCATGCTCAGCAATGTACCAGTAACTGCTTTAATATCACTCAATTATGAGTGGCTTGAGTGATAAGATAAGAGTAAAGATTTAAAAGTATAATAAAATATTGGTATTAACCTAATTCCAAAATTCATCTGTAGAATAGCTCTTTTTCTAATTCTGGGGATTGACAGCAATGCCTCACATGTGTTAAGGAAACTCTTTATCACTAAACTGTATCTCCAGCCCTCTATTTACTTTTTATTTTGAGGCAGGATCTCATTAATTTGTCCAGGCTAACCTTGAACTTGCTCTATAGCCCCAGCAACATTTGAACTTGAGCTTCTCCTGCCTCAGCCTCCCAGCTAAGACAGCCTAGCAGTTTCCTCTTTCTGAAGAAAGGTCCTTTTTCCTCTGCAAATGTAAAAGCTGACCCTAGTTTCCATTGGCAGTTACTACCCACTCAAGAACTGCAATAATATGGCAGGGTTCTACCGCAGCAGACTAAAGAGAGGTCCTGACACAACTGCTGTAGTTTGAAGCCCTGAAATCAGAAATGTGGAGACCCTAAAGCACTTGCAGATAGTGTAAGCGATATGAGGAAAAGGAATAGAAGAGGGGAAGAAAGTGTTACTGTGTGTATACTGTCTGTCACTTGGGTCACAAAAGGTGATACATGTCACACACAATTGTATAATGAGCAAATGACAGAACACAGAGATTGCTACCTCAGCCACCTAGCACATGCTGTTTCAAGCCAGTATAGGAAGTGTTCTTTACATGGCTTGTGGTTAGAAGTAAGGAGGTTTTCAGATGTGTTAGAAAGAGGCTGGCATGATCTGTGTGGTGGCTTACTAAGTCATGTGATCACTTAGGACCCTAACCCAGCTGTTGCTGTTTCTGCTTGCTAGTGCTCAGAATTGCAGCCACTGGCCAGGACCCAAGAAGAAAACTTCAACAACTACTACCATAAGTGGGTTTCCCCCATTCAAGCAAAGAGCAGGGCTCCAAGTTCTGTTGCAGTATAGCAGTGGCTGTTTTTAATGACAGCAAGGTTCTCTCTGGTGCTATGTTTTTGTTTTGTTTTGTTTTTGAAGTATGTAAAATGCAGGCTCCTTTCAGTGCAGGAGGTAAGAAACCATCCATGTAAAGATTAAGAGTTGGTTTCAGCTTTTCTTTCTTCCTCTTTTGTGCCTCTCACAGACAGTAAAGACTGTATCCTGGAGCCGCTTTCCCTGCCAGAGAGTCCAGGTGGCACCGCCGCTTTAGAAGGGCCTCCATCTGTGCCTTGTATTTTCTGTGAAGAACATTTTCCCGTGACTGAACGAGACAAACTTTTGAAGCACATGATTATCGAGCATAAGATTGTCATAGCTGATGTCAAGCTGGTTGCAGATTTCCAAAGGTAAATTTTGGTTTTGCCTCTAAAATAATTCCTTCTTGACTGGAGGATGGTATAATCTACACAGAAAGTAATCTCTGTGCAGCTATGGGAGGTCATGTTGTCATGTTTGGGATTTTTTTTTCCTAGATTTTTTTTTATTACAATCTTTTATCAATGAGCATGTAAATTATGATTAATTAAAACATGGAGTATGTTTTCTACTGAGGAGATCTCATATGTTGCTGACTTGCGTGGTTACTGAGAGCATAAAATTTGGAGAGTATGGAAAGGCTCCATTTCATTGGAAAATAGAGAGTCACCTCAGCATTATAATGTCAGTGCTGACTCTCTCAGGCCACCGACATCATTGCCAGCAAGCGACCTTGTTCTTGTTAGGGGTCTTCCAAAGCATCCAGCTGTGTTATTAACAGTGGTTAGCTAAGAAACGAGGCTGGACTGGAATGCAGACCAGGGAACCTCTTAACCTTGTGATGGGTTAATAATAAACAGATTAATATAAGCACTGGTCCCTGGCCTGTCAAGAGCGAGTAGCACCGCCTGTGATATGCTGCCTGTTTGAAATAGAAGAGCCAAAATTTATCTATGTTTTGATTACTGATAAAATTGCAATATTGCTGCTATAGCTTTAGTTATCAGTACAGCTTTATACTACTTTAAAAGCCTAATTATCACTTATTTTTAAGATTTAACTTTTAAGAAAATTTTATTCAAGGTTCCACATTATCTAGATCTTTAGAAAACAGTTCATTTGAGGTTGGAATAACCAGCATTCCTGGTGGTTGGGGAAGGCGGGTGGATAATCCAGCTGCTCTTGGTTTCTGATGTCCTTCCCAGCTGCCTGACACTAACACAGAATATATGTAACATGCCTTCTGTGTATATGTGGGGCCTACAGCCACTAAGTATGGTTATTTTTTACCAGACTTTGATGTTGCCTGGTCATAGGATAAAGCAAGGAAATCTGAATGATATATGTGACCAACTGCTAAACTAATTTCTTGCGTATTTTCATTGTGTTTCTCCTCATTTGTTATTCTCTATTTTTAAATTAGAGAGAAATGGTCAGGATGATTGAGGGAGTGTTATAGGAGCTTGGCAACGTACAATACTTTCTTCAAGATGTATTTAAAATATTTAAATCTGTTCATTTAAGACACTTCTTAAGCTAGATATCTTCTAATCCTTTTCTTCCCAAGTAACGATGACAGACATGTTAAAGGGACGTGTCTTATTTTACTGAGCTTCTCGTTGCTATAAAATGATTTGTTTACTCTTGAACCATGTAAATAAACGTTACATCCTGTGAGCGGCAGAGAAGTACAACCATTAGTGGTAACTGAGAGGTGTTTAAACTTTCTCTCCTGCCCTTAAAATCTGAGGAACGTTTAGATCAAAATTTGTCTTTTCTCTTTTGTGCTTATATGTAATAAAGTGACTGTATTCATAGTTATCAATCTCTTATTGGCATTAATCTTATTGTTCATATATGGGAAGAACAGTCAAGTTACTTAGCTAGGTCTCAGGGCTCAGGAATCAATCAGTACATGTTGAGAACTGTCAGTAAGTGCAGCTCAACAGTAAAATGGATGCTTTGTAATAAAAGTAAAAAGATAATATGTCAAATGTAAGTGCTTTCTAAAATGTGTAATTAACATGTATTTTAAATGTAGAATTTTAGTTCTTTCTTACCAGATGCACTCCTAATTAAATAAAAATTTCACTTTTAGGAAGTGAAAATAAGATTATTGAGTGGACCAACAATGTGTCTAAGTAGACTCTTTATTTCTTAAAAGAACATTTTTGTTGTTTTTGTTTTTCAAGACGGTTTCTCTGTCAGGGTAGCCCTGGCTGACCTGGAACTCATTCTGTAGGCCAAGCTGGCCTCAAATTCAGAGATCCACCTGCCTCTGCCTCCTGAGTGCTGGGATTAAAACCACTTCCCAGCAAGAACATTTTTAATATATCCAGTCTTCTTTGAATAACCTCCTATAATTTAATGTAACCGAAAGTTCTTTCCTAGAACAGACATTGACTATTTGTGATCCGTTACGTTACAGTTAAGTAAATGGCTTTCTCCAGCTTTCAGAAAAGAAACTCTGAAGGTTGGGGAGGTCGCAGCAGGAAAGAGCTCTGGTTGACATCTGTGAATTCACTCTTCTCAGAGAAAATCTGATCCTTCTAAGTACAAGCTGTAAAGGCTTTTAAATAATAGGAATGAGATGAGATTACCTCATACATTATTTCATTTTATTTCAACAAGGTCTCACTGTGTAGCCCAGGCTGGCCCCAAGCTCACTAGCTTCAGACTTTTAAATGCTAGGACCACAGAGATACACCACCACTTCAGCATTACCCTGTGTTTTATAAGAAGTATGCTATAAATTTTCATGTTAAACATATCTGGCGTTCTTTATTGAAACAAAGTAGCCGGGCAGTGGTGGCACACGCCTGTAATCCCAGCACTTGGGAGGCAGAGGCAGGTGGATTTCTGAGTTCGAGGCCAGCCTGGTCTACAGTGTGAGTTCCAGGACAGCCAGGGCTACACAGAGAAACCCTGTCTCAAAAAACCAAAAAAAAAAAAAAAAAAAAGAAAAAGAAACAAAGTAAGTACAAAACTTCCTAGGGTAGAGAAAAATAAAACAAAACTGAAAATCTTCCCGTTGAGGCCACTTTACAGTTATTTAGAGTGAGCTATTTTCTTCTAGCTTCCTTTAGTCAGTAGAATTGTACCAGAAGATAAATGTTAATGCCGTAATTTTTTAAGTTGCATTTATTCAGTGCTACTTGGATAACAACCGTCTCTCAAACCTTCATACCTTTATCAGTATGTGTGCAAACTCGAGTGGCGGTCTAACAGGCAAGATGTTATTACAGCAGTGTTCTTCTGTGTGAGAAAGAGCTCCATGAGATACAGTTTGAAGTTCTCTTTAACAAAAGCATTGGCAGATGACTTACCAATTACTTTTATGCCTTTTTAATAAAGTGTGAAATGCTATTTTGACTGCCGTCTCAACAAAGAATTCATACCACATATTTCATAGCATCCTTTATATGTTGAGTAGCTATAACTGTTACTTTGAATAAACAAGAGAAGTGGGAAATGAAGTTAACCAGTCCTACATAATCATATAACTCTGAAAAATATGTTCTAATTTGGGGCTGGGACAAGAGGTTTGCTGAAGACCTGCCATCAGTAAGCTGTTTCTCAGTTGAATAGAATTTCTCTGAGTATCTGTAATAAACACAACAAAATATAAAAGGAATACCCCTTAGTTTGGATTAAAAACTACAAAGATACTATACTACTATGTGTTTTGGATATTTCCAAACTCAAATGTAAACTTAGGCTCAAATATATGTAGCAGTTGAAACTGTGTTTAGCATAGTGTATGGAGCGTGTTTCTGCCTTTAAGTTGTGTAGTGATTTGTGGTTCTGTTTTGCTTTTATTTGATGTTGTCACCTTGTCTTTAATGAGGAAAAGAAGACTCAGATAACAACTGTGTTCCTTACTTATCTCCCAGCACACTCCCAGAAGCTGCTTAACAGCATCTCTGATGGTGCTAGAGATGGATCTAAGAACCATCACTTCTGAGATTCTGGAATACTTGTATGCAGAGCAGTGAAATAACGCTTAGAGCTGTATGGCATCTCAGGCCCCATCAGGTCTGAGACAGGTCTTAAGAATCTGAGCTTCTGCCTGGCAGGATCTCCCTGAGATCTTCGTTTCTTTCAGGCTAGTATTTCTTTCCCTGTGCTTGTAGCCTTGAAGTAATCGCTCATACAGCAGAAGCACTTGATATTATCTGTCTCATGAAAGGTATAAGTACTCAAACATTGAAGACCTTGAAGACTGGACTGCTGACCATTGGAGTCGGGTCATTGTTTCCTCAGCAGGATAGGGGGATACTTTGCACCTGCTGCCCCATCATGGCGTTCCAAATCAGTAGCCACAGCAGCTGGTAACAACTTTCAGTCTGCATGTAGGCAATTAGGAGCCATTCCCACTGCCGGCTACAGTTATGTAATGTGCTCTTTAGAAATAGGATGCTCCCTCTCATTCCGACTTCTATATAGTTCCATATCTGTTCATATCAAAAATCATTCTCTGCACCTTCCTTATTCCCTGAGTGGGTTGGAGGAAAAAAAAAAACATTTCAAGTATTTATTGCAACTACAATTCCAAGAGGTTTTCCTGCCTTCCCTTTTCTAGGATTCTTGTACAAACTGATTGGAACATCCCTCTGTGTCACAGAGACCAGGTTTGTTTGGGAGCCGGAAAGACCTGCCTGGATTCAACTTCTGCCATTCTAAGCCATTCTAAGCCACCCTAGACAGTTCAGCAAACATAGCCTTCACTGTCATCGCCACCATCTTCCACCTTAGCTCCTACCCTGTTACTGTGATGTAACCATTTTTACTCTCTCACTAAATGTCTCGTGAAATGAAGGCAGACTTGTAGTATCAGGACTCAAGAGACAGAAGGAGGAAGATTGCACATTTGAGGCCAGCTGATACCTTGTCTCAAAAAAAAAAAAAAAGACTTCCCTGTTGATTCACTTTGAGGCAGGTTCCCACTCTGCCTTGGCCTTGTCTCAGATACACAGGGTCAAGTGGTTCTCCCACCTCACATCCCAGGTTGCTGGGACTGCAGGCCAGTACCAATTCCTCTTTTCCTTTCTTTTTACTTTATTATTTTTTTTTATAAAATGTTATTGCTACTTTGGCTATTTTAGACAGTTATTCTGACAAAATATCTTCGTTCCTGTAACCATATGTAAATGAGTTCCTTTTCTCATACTACTGTTTATAAACACCCAGGACTTGGGTTGTGGTACTCTACCTGCGCTGTATACTTAATCATCAATAATAATTCATATGCAAATGAGTAAACTGAGTCTCATAAGGGTTAGATAACTATAAGTTCAGACTCATATCCCTGAATGCCAAACACTCCTCCGGATTAACACATTCTTACACCAGGTATTAAAAGGCTTGGCCAGTGTCATCATTTAAAAAGCACAGTGGCTTCCAGTTTAAGATCAGCTGTAGCATAAGGAGAAAAATGTTTTGACTTTTCATTCGAAAATAAGTCACAGTAGTTCAAAGGGTGATTCGGTCACTACGGTCCACACTCTCCAAACATCTGCTTACAATGTTTCCCGTAGATGATTTCGCAGGTCTGTGAACATCTTCCAAAGGTGAGCAGCTTATGTAGGCAGAGTTATCACTGCTGTAACAGGCTGTGGATCAATCCAAAATTGAATTAGCATTGTATGAGACTGGCTACTGTTGTCAGCTTTGCTTAGATGGTATGTGTTGTGTTGGGTGTCCTCATTAAAGTGGCAACTGGAGCTAAGGAAACTCCTCTTGGTCTTTTGTATTGGTAGCCATGAAAACTTGGCCCTCTTTTCTCTTGATAAGTCAGTTATCTCAGGCACCCGGCCCTGCCATATATTTGTTTACATGATCTACATAGATTTGTTTACATGAGCACAAATATCTGTATATTCTAGTTTGAAGAAACAAATTAAGTCCTATTCTTACATTTCTAACACAGGTTCTACCATATTTTTTTATCCATCTCACCACATTACAATAAACAAGGTGCTAAGTAGACCATTCCCGTCCTCTTCCCTGTGTGAGTATATGAGTATGTGTCTGTATGCTATGTACTTGCTTGTGTGCATATGCATACAGAGACCAGAGGTCAACACAAGACGACTTTCACTACTGCTCTCCACCTCATTGTTGAGATAGGTCTTTCAGTGAACATGGAGTTCCTTGGCTTGGCTTGGCTTGGCTAGGCTGGCTCGTCAGTAAACTCAAGAGATTTGTCTCTATCCATGCACCTCCCACCACCCCCAGCACTGGGGTTTACAGATGTGGGTGCACAGCTTTTATATGGATGTTAGGTATCCAAACTCAGGTCTGTGTGGCAAATATGTTACTGACTGAACCCACCTGCCCACGCCTGAGTTTCCTGATTTGTTTTTCCCTCTATCCCACCCCCTTTTCCAGGACAGGATAGTCCACTAATAGAGAACAGAAATAGCTATGCAGAGTAACACAGATTGGAAAGTGCTGAAGTTGACCAAGGAAATAACGCTTTATCTTCTCGTAGATACGTTTCTTCTACTGTGACAGATCTGCTGTCCCTCTGCTTCTAAGGCACATGAAAGCCAGTGAGTTAGCCACGGAGTCACGATGGATCATGTACTAGTTTTGTAATTAAACCTGAGGTAGAGTTAGCACTGTCACTGTCTGATCTGTGGGTGAAGTCAGAATTACTGTGTAAGGAACGTAGTGCTCCTCCACTTTAGGATTGTCAGGGTGGGCAGAGAGGCAGGACTGAATTATGTGGCCCTATCCTCCTCGCACTCATTGCTTCTTTTCCTTATGCCTCCTATTCTTCCTGTCCTTGTCTGCATTTGTTTCCCAGTTCATCTCACGGTGCTTTCTTTTTCTCAGATCTCTCAACACAGACTGTATTCTAACCCATCAACCCCCTGTCTCCCGAGCACCACAATGGGGAAAAAATACCTAAAAGAAGAGTAAAAGGAAACCAGATGTGGGGAGGTGCTGCCTGCCTGGAGATCTATCGATGTCTCTAAGCACTCTCCCACACCCCTGCAGCTGGCTTTGAGCGTGTTCTGGCAGACCACTGCTAGGTACTATATCAAGCCATTTGAAATGTCCAAATCCCTACTCTTTCTATGTTCCTCCAGTATCTCAGGAAATCTCATCTCTTTCCATGATGCTTTGGTTCTTTGGTGTAAGTTTTCTTATCTAATTCATGTAGTCCAATAAACAGTCACCTGTCAAGCCAACCGTCCCATGTCCTCTCTCTTCATGAAAAAGGCCACATTCCCCTGTTGATCCCCTCTGGTCTATGAGGTAGCACGGTGATTCATCTTGTTATAATAAATAAATTGAAAGAGGAGTGGCTTAGTTGTATCTTTCTTTGTCTTTCAGCACATGTACAGGGCTGGGTTATGATTTGCTTTTAAGTTGAGCCCATATGCTACTTCTAACTCTGCTCATTAAACATAAAGTGTGTAGCTCAGCTGTTTTCCAAAGGCTACATCTGATTTATTTTAGGCATAGTGTGGGCATTCAGACGTTCTGTCTAGTTATGCAGATGTTGGATGTATGCGGTTATCTTATTACACTGACCTTTGCAGAAGATGACCACTCAGTCTGCTCTTCATTGGATGTCATAAGCCTATTTGATTCTTGTAATTGTTTTAAATTTATTTTTATTTTGTATGTATGGTTGTTTTCCCTACATATGTGTCTGTGTACCACATGCGCGCCTAGTGCCTACAAAGGACAGAAGAGACCGTCAGATCCCATAACTAGAGTTATAGATGCTTGTGAGTCACCATGTTGGTCCTGGGACTCAAACCAGAGTCCTCTGAAGGAGCATGCCATGCTGTAAACTACCCCTAATTCTTACATTTGAAATGCATGTAAACTACAATGCTGTTTTAGAAAACTTCATTATCACAGGAAAACAATTCATTTTAACCATGTGTGATAGCCCTTACCTATAATTCCAGAACTTAGAAGGTAAAGGGCTAGCCTCAACAACATAGCATGTTCAAGGATAATCTGGGCTATAGAAGAGCTTATCTCAAACAAACCAACCAACAAAAACTCATTTTAACTTTCTTACAGACTTGTGTATCGAATTTCAAAATAGTGAGATTTAATCATTTTCAAGCCTTTGTAGGATAGCTTGATTTTATTTATCTGATATATCTGCAATCTCTCAATGCCTTTCCCTTCGCAGATTCCTTAGCAGTATCATTTAACAACTGCTTTTTGGTGTGGAGGTAATTAGGCATTCTTGTATGATCGTGTCATTTTAATAGTTGTGTATTGATTCTTCTCATCTTTTTGAATGTAATTTCTTAGGTACATTTTATATTGGAGGAAAAGGTTCACTGAGCAGCCTATCACAGACTTTTGCAGCGTGATAAGAATCAATTCCACAGCTCCATCTGGTAAGTGCATGTCTTAACTGTCCACACAAATCAAAAATTCAGGAAAATAATCTCACTCTCTTAAATTGCACTTGCTCTCACTTGCATGATAGCTGAAATTAAACTGATGTCTTTATATTGCTTTACTTGAGTAAACCTACATCAGAACTCCATACCAGATACTAATGGACATGCACACTGTGTGTTTGTGGTGTGTGTGTGTGTGTGTATGTGTGTGTGTGTGAAGCCACAAGCCAGCGTTGGTCTCTGTTACTCTTTATCTTAGTTTTTGAGACATATTCTTTCATTGAGCCTGTAGCCACCAATTGATATAATTAGCTGGCTAGCTACCTCCAGGGATCCACCACCCATGGGCTTTTAAATGAGTCTTGAGGATCCAAATTCAGATACCCCCACCCCCAGCTCCTTGCCTGCACGGTAAACACTTTACTGACTGAGCCTTCTTTTTTTTTTTTTTTTTTTTTTTAAATGATTTTTTTTTTAAATATTTATTTATTTATTGTATTGATGAGTACACTGTAGCTGTCTTCAGACACACCAGAAGAGGGCATCCAATCTCATTACGGATGGTTGTGAGCCACCATGTGGTTGCTGGGATTTGAACTCAGGACCTCTGGAAGAGCAGTCAGTGCTCTTAACCGCTGAGCCATCTCTCCAGCCCCCTGACTGAGCCTTCTTTACTGTTTCGTATCCACACATTTTTAAAGAAGCAAATACTCGTGAAAAAAATTCTCCTTTTTCATTTATTCTTCTGCTCTCTCAACAGAAGAACAAGACAACTATTATTTGCTATGTGATGTGTTACCAGAAGATAGAATCCTCAGAGAAGAGCTTCAAAAACAGAAGCTGGTAAGAATTTTAAAGTATGAACTATCCATTAGAAACACACACAAAAATCATTCTTGTTATCTTTTTTCACTTTGAAAAACATTTTCAAACATACACAAAATAAGAGACTATTCATACATGTCTTAAAACAGAAAATAGTATTCACCTGATTAAAGGCTAAAGTGGTAGAAATGCAGAGAGGACCCTTGACTGCTTCCTGAGTTATCCCCAACATGAAAACAGAGTCTGTATGCTTTTCTATAATTTTAGATTCTTGACACTTGACACACACTGCAAAATAGAAGTACTCTTAGCTAATCCAAATTAAACTGATCAATCTTTTTCCCCCTTCTTTTTACTGGCATGTGCTATGTATTAGCATTTCCTCTATCCGCTATGAGTTAAGTGCCTGGCTCATTCAACATGGTAGCCTTTCTTATTTTGTTTTATCCATAAGCAAGCAAACATGAAAACCTCAGCATCTTTATTGTTTAAAATGATAATAGCACATAGAAAGCATGAAATTTTCATCTTTGTAAGTTAGTCATGCATTTTAACATGTTAATTAACATAAAAATATTGTCTCCTATGGCAAACTTTTCCTTTAGCAGTTTCTTGTAAGTCTTCCTTTTATCTTTATATCTGATTAAATACATCACGAAGAGATTGTGAATTTAATTATCTCTGCTACGTTCTCAAGAAACCTAAAATGAAAATAAATCCTATAATATCTAGTTATAGAATTTGAGAAAAATCACTTGAAGCCTATTTTGTTTTGTAAACATCCCTAGTAATTATTTTCCTAGTAAGAGAGCGATATGACACTGTTGGATTTAAGTGTCACATAAGAAAAAGGCTCTTTCTGTACAAGCCCAGTAAAGAAACAGGACTTCCTAAGTTTTCTTCACCTCCCATAACAGGGTCTTGTGTACTTTGCCACACAAGGCAAACCTATTGTTTTGTATGAATTTCATAATTGTTTATAATAAATAAAATTCCTTTTCTTTCTCTGTGCTTACTGTGGCCTTGATCAGTCAAGAATGATCAAGCTGTCACAGATTTATACAAAAGTCCAACCCTGCCACTTAAGCCATAGCTCCCTCAGAGTGCAGAATTGTTACTATATACACAGTATATGCAATAGACTCATAGACTCTCAGAGTGCAGAGTCGTTAC